ATATCTTGTGATCCATTTTGGGCCACTGTGGGGAAATATGCAGATCAGGGAAGATAAGTCATGGAGTGGTTCTGGAATCCAAAGATGTGTGAATAAAATTTAATAGGAAAGATGTTTTGGGTCATTCATGTTTTGGTGGTTCATCCCCATACTGAGACAAAGGCCACCAGTTAAAGTGTTAAGATGGTTTCATGTGTGTCCTGGTTTTGGCTGGGATAAAGTTAATTCTCTTGCTAGGTTCCTGATGCTTTCCACTATAAAGCAAAGTAAAGGCAGGTCCATTCTTTTCTCCAGACCCCAAATCCCCCCCAATCTGGACCCCAAACAATGTCATCTTAGCTCTTCTGATTTTCTCCTTCCCCTGAAACTTGTGGCTTATCTTGCAACAAAATATCCTGTTAGGGATAATACTTTCCAGCCCATCTCTGTTCCATTACTTCAACATGGAAAAGCCATCTCAGGACGGTGATTTCATTATACATCTTTGATGGAGGGATAAATTATTAAAGCAGATTCATAAAAAATGAAAGACATTTTACACAGGGAAAGGAGTCCTGACAGTAACCTAGATATGTCACAAAAGCTGACTGCCACCAAATAGGCAAACCTGCCCCTTGCCAGAGCAAAGGGGGATAAACTATGAAAGATACATGAGGGGAGAAGGAGAAATGAAGTGACTGGAATGGCAGAGTGGGAGATAAACACATCAGGGTAAAGGAAACAAAAGAGCAAAGACAATGGAGGAAAGGGGGAGTGAATGGGGGTTAAATAATTCAGGTCAGGATTTTTAACAGCCTCGAGGAAACAAGGGAACAGAAGTCGTCTAGGAATCACTGGCAGAGGGGAGGGAACCAACCAAACGCAATTCACAGTGTTCAAAAGAGATGTTGGATATTCGTGTCATTTGGACAAACCTTGGCTGGTGTAAATCAGTCAATCCAGCTGTGGGGTTTTACACCCTTCTGAGGATGTAACCCATAAATCAGAAGGGCAGCTTCAAGAGACACAATTCCAGCCATTTTGGCCACTTTACGCCACTGTTGGCCTCAAATCCTAACTGAATCCTCCCTCTGCTCTGCCCCGGTCTGTGCTGGACCTGTCTGGGAACTCTCCCCATTCACTGAGCTTCTTCAGTCACTGCCTCATTAGATAGAAATAACCCATCAGATAAGGAGCTTTGCAGCAATAATCCCAGCTCATGCTGCCAGTGCTGCTGGTGGACAAAGCATCTCCTGTGAACTTGTCACATCTCCTCACCCCTGTGCAACGCCCTTCCCTAAGAAATCAGCAAGTGTCCTCAAAACTGTGAAGCTACAAAGGGTGAAATCCAGCCTGGAACACTTTCCTGAGCACTTTCTTCTTCTTTTCCAGTACTGCTGCTCCCCTACTCTAGGGGATATCTACTCCCTGGACCAGTATTATTAATCAGCTCCTGGAGCAGGGAACAGAAACCTTTGCCTCCTGCCTCTATCTCCCTCCACTGCATTAATTTCTGATGTGGAAATATTCCTTTTCTTTCCTTGTTCTAATTTCTGGTCTCCTGTGTTGCTCCTGTTTCAGCTTTGGCTTTTCTTGCTTGCGGGATTCCCTCCTCTCCGTCAGACTTACACACTTGCACCTCTCCTGATACAAAGCACAGCTGAGGCTGTAAGGACGTGCCACATACACCACAGATAAAAGCAGGCATGCAAAATTCAGAGGCATAGAATTAAGACTGCTGGTGAGAGGATAACACCTATTAATCATGTCTATTACAGTAAAACCTCAGGATAAGACCAGGATGAGAAGGACACAAAATTAGGGAAACTCCCAACTGCAAAGGCTTTGTAATCTAAGAAGAGAAGCATGGCAGGGAATTACAATACATTGTGTGGGCAAAACAGTTCGTAACTTGGGGGTTTTTGAGTATAGGACATGAGTAGGACATATTATGTAGGGAAGGAAAAGCTAAATAGAACAAGAAGTGGAAGGCAGCAGGAGTCTGAGGGTATTGGTTGACACCAGGAGGAAAAGGGGAGGAATATTAGCAATGGAGAACAGAATCTGCCAGGACACAGAAATCGTTAGTTTTTCTTGATAAATATTCCAGCTTGTGGCAAGGTGAAAATTTTGAGAAGGTGAGGGCTGATCCCACAGTGTGGGCAGCAGGTGAGGGGGGAATTTTGCCCCTCTGCTCTGCTCAAGTGAGACCCACCCTCAGTGCTGCCTCCAGCTCTGGGGACCAACACCAGAAGGATGTGGAGCTGCTGGAGCGAGTCCAGAAGAGGCCATGGAGATGCTCTGAGGCTGGAGCACCTCTGTCCTGGAGACAGGCAGGCTGGGAGAGCTGGGGGGGTTCAGCCTGGAGAAGAGAAGGCTCTGGGGAGACCTTCGAGCCCCTTCCAATGCCTAAAGGGGCTCCAAGAGAGCTGCAGGGGGACTTAGGACAAGGGCAAGGAGTGATAGGACAAGGGGGAATGGCTTCCCACTGCCAGAGGGCAGGGCTAGATGGGATATTGGGAAGGAATTCTTTGCTGTGAGGGTGCTGAGGCACTGGCACAGGTTGCCCAGAGAAGCTGTGGCTGCCCCATCCCTGGAAGTGTTCCAGGCCAGGCTGGATGGGGCTCGGAGCAACCTGGTCTAGTGGAAGGTGTCCCTGCCCATGGCAGGGGGCTTGCAATGGGATCTTTAAGGTCCCTTCAGGGAACTGAAGAGGCAGCAAAAAAATCTGTATTTTGGTAAATATTAGTGTTGTCTTTTCTGCCTCTCCAAACCTGAAAATCAGATACTGAGGGAAGAACAAACCTTTCCTTCTCAAGTTTTCCACCATGGATGTGTGGGTTACTACAAATAATTATGTATATATCCTTGGCTGACTGGATCTGTGGTGCCTTTTATCCTTGGGTACATCTGATTCAGAGACAAGCGATGGGCCCCAAAACATCAGAGAGACACCTGCCAGGTCCTGCTTTCCTGGGACACCAGCAGTTCCAGGGAACCAGAGCAAAACCTCCTGCAGGCAACCAATGTCTGGCACTGGAGCTTTGGACTGGGTCCTCTCTAATAATTGTGCAATCATGGTAATTATATACAAAATAAAGTTAATTACTTAATCACGTGTAACAAGGACCCTTCAGCTACCGAGTGAGGCACAGGCTTGGTGCAATTATTCACAGGCTTGTAATCTACATCCCTTTGTGTTGAATATTTCATTAGTTACTATTCACATCTCCTCAGAGGTACTTTGCAATGGTTCAGTGATTGGATTTACTCTTCATTTCTTCTTGGCTTGTACAAGCTCCATTGTGACAAATATTCCTCTGTATTTTATCCCTTTAACAAAGAGGTTCTTTCCAACCTTCCTGTTACTCACCCCAGTGTGACCATCAGGAGCTTGAGGCAATTTCAGCTTCCTGATTTGCCTTCAAGGTCGTTTTGGGTGGGTGCCTTAGTTTTTGCCCCATGTTTGTACAGCTTTTTGGGTTTTGGCCATTATGGAGTGCCCTCAGCAAGAATAACCAATAGCAGTGGTAACCAAGTGTGTCTGGAAGTGAAGGAGATTGGATCACCTAAACCAGTCGCTCCTCTTCAAGCTGGTTCAGCCATGGCTGGCATAACTCTTGATTTACTCCTGCACAGAACAGGGGTCTGTACAGGAGGAGTACTTTTGGAGGAGGAAGAACCATAGGTTGGACCTCTGAGATCACTGAGTCCAACCTATGACCTAACACCACTATGGCAACTAGATCATGGCACTAAGTGCTATGCCCAGTCTCTCCCTAAACACCTCCAGAGATAGTGACTCCACCACCTCCCTGGGCAGCACATTCCAGTGTCTGATCACCCTTTCTAGGAAGAATGTCTGACCTGATGTCTGACCTGAACTTCCTCTGGCACAGCTTAGGCTATGTCCTCTTGTCCTGTCACTTGTTACCTGGGAGAGAGGCTGATCCCCACCTGGGTACAACCTCCTGCCAGGCAGTTGTAGACCTGAGGTATATCATGGACTTGCATTTTCACTTTGAAATACTTGAATGAATTCTCCAAACCCAAGGCAGTTTTCTTATGAACGAGACTCAGCAAACCAGACCCTCTGGCTTTGGAGATGCCGTGCTCCATGCACACTGCACAGCTCTCCTCACCTCTGGTGAAGTACCTGCCTTGCATAACTAATTTTGGAAGGAAGAGCAGCCTTCTGCTTGAAGTTAACATTTTAGGAAACCAACCTAATCTCACCTCTAAGTATTATAACACTTCAGCCTAAACCTAGAAGTATTTGTTGGAGTGTGCGGGGCCAGTGCCTCACTGAAATTGCAGTCTGAAATTTAGGTTAGATACACCAAATAAATTCTTCCCTGTGAGGGTGGTGAGGCACTGGCACAGGTTGCCCAGAGAAGCTGTGGCTGTCTTAACCCTAGAAGTGTCCAAGGCCAGGCTGGATCAGGCTTGGAGTAACCTGGGCTAGTAGAAGGTATTGCTGCCCATGGCAGGGGTTTGGACGGGATGGTCTTTAAGGTCCCTTTCAACCCAAACTATTGCCTTATATACTACCCAAACTGGTGACACCTTGAATGTTAACAGCCTCACAAGAAGGTCTGAGATTTCTTGGCTACAACACAGTGACAAGAGGATCTGCCAAGTCTTGCAGAAGGCATGTCTCACCTGGCAACATCCAAGCACGAGTTCCTGACAGCACTTAAGAATTTACAGCACATTAAATCTTCCAAGGATTTTTGAAGAGAGTTGCTGATTCTGTCAACTATGATTCTGGCATAACCTCTGAAATCAATGATGTAACTTCCATGAGTTATGGACGTGAATCTCTCTGTTGCTCGCAAGAGACCATTGAAACCACTGTCATTTCATAGCTAAAAATAAGGGAGGATTGGACCCATGTGTCTTTCTCTTACTTTACTGTATATAAATCAAGGCACAGATATGCTAACTGCATCACACACATCCTGGGGACAGTAATTTCTCAGTGCTTGAGAGACAAGAGAAATTGTCATTCAGGTCTGATCATCATTTTTATTGTATTCCAGCCAGAAGATACACATTTCATGCAAACTATACGTTCACTCCAGCTGCTGCTCAGGAGGAAGTTCCCGACTTCATGTGGGTTGGTCCTGCACCAAGGTACTTGGTTCTTGGTCTGTAGCACCAATGATTTTTTCAGGAGTCCTGGAAGCAGAGAAAGATCATCATTGCAAAGGTGTCAGAGCAAACAAAATGCCACCCTGGAGCTGGAATTTGCCTCATGACCAGTAACCCTGCAGAGTGCACCTTTGTTATGTCCTCAAGCTGGTTGGTGAGTCTGGTCCTGGTCCCTGCAAGGAACTGGTCCAAACCTCATGGATTTCCACCAGACTGGGAATTCTGAAGCTCTTGACTTTTTGACCAGACCTTGGTTCAACTATGACCAGGATCATGCCCACCCATCAGCTATGAAAATGTTTGCCAATTGATTATAACCTGCATTGAATGAGCACCTCACTGTAAAATTGTCTCCCAAAGAAGCAGCTGGTTTCCCTCAAGGTGGCTGGTGAAAGCCCTATCCCAGGGGAGCTGAGTTCTTGTGCCCCTCAGGAAGCACCCAGAGTTGCTGTTAAAACAGCTAAGCCCAGCTGACACATGCTAACCCTAATTTGAGAGCATCCCTCCTCTTCAATGCCCTCAGGAGAGACACCAGGAGGTGATGATGGCAGCAAGGCATTGGATGCCTGTTAGGATCAGCTTTGGGGCCAGCTCTGTAACTGGGGTAGCCTTGGATGAGAACAAAGCCTGGGAGTTAGGGTAGATATCACCAGGAGAAGTTCTGGGCTGATGCTGGACGGAAGGCTGGGTCTTGTGGAAGTGAAGAGGGAGGGATGGGGAAGGAAAGACCTGTACAAAACAAGTGAATTTCCATTAGGAAAGAGAAGGTGGACCTCCAGGGATGAAGAGAGAGGTGTGATGGGTGGGGAGGGATCTGTGAGGCTGCAGAAAGCAGATGGAAAGATAGGTGAAACCTGCTTAGCTTTAAAATGGACAGCTTTGCATGGCAGTTGCATCAAAGGACTGTG